GTTAGACATTTGTATATTGTTTTCATATTTATAGATGTCTGTACATCATCTGTCTTCATTTTATTTTTATTGATTCCATTCATGAGAGTAAAGATAAATTTATTCTTAGATTTATTCTAAAATTCTTGTTTTAAACATTTTTAAACCTCATTTAATTTACAAAAACTCTTAGATTTTTGTAAATGGGAACATCACTGATGTACTGTAAAGTAATATAATGATACTCATTACAGTATATGAAGTCTTAGACTTTTTTTGTTCTCTGCAGTTATTTGAAACTGTACATTCATAAGAACTGTATGTGACAGAAATACTTTTGTACTTACAAATTTTCTCTACAGTAAGAATGACAGTGGCAGAATAACAGCATGCTTTAAAAAGTACAGGAAAGTCAAAGCAATTTTGTATTTTAAAAGTTAATTGGATGTGAGAGCAATACAATATTTAAAATATACTGCAATATAAATCTACAAATAAATTCCCACCTCCTCTCTCCCTCACTATTCCCTGGTCTATCCTAGGAAGTTATTTCAAAATAATCTCCTTTAAAAATAAGCAGTGCATCCACACTACCACTCCCGTTATTTCAAAACAATGGGCTGCTATTTTGAAATCTGCTTTCCTTGGGAAAAAAGCTTATTTCAAAATTGTTATTTTGGGAGTTATTATTTCGAATTTAGTTATTCTAAAATAATTTCCTAGTGTAGGCATGCCTTATAAGATTTACCAGAGAACCAAGAATCAGTGTGCTCCTAGTTTCTGAAAAAGTCATTCCTCTGTACTCACTAATTTTTTTTTTTTTTTGGTCTGCTAAATGTTTTTGGGGTGTGTAATACCAAGAAATGCTAGTTAAATCTAACACTATTTGTTCTTTATAAAATGAGTGATCACCATTATTTATAGTGATTTATTTACAATTGAATTATCCTAAGAAAACCGGTAATAAAATAGGGAGAAAAGGCTTGCAAATAATTTGATCCTGCAGATATTAATTCTACACAATATATATTGTAAATATAAAATCGAGAGTTTATGTCCATCACAATATTAAGAGTACAACAATATACACTAAATACTCTCAGAGGGGTAGCCGTATTAGTCTGTATCTGCAAAAACAACAAGGAGTCCCGTGGCTTCTTAAAGGCTAACAGATTTATTTGGGCAAAAACTTTTGAGAGTAAAAGCCATTTTGTCAGAGGGGGTGCCACATGTCTCTTTGTTGTTTTTGAAAACACTAAATAGTTACCTATGCAGAGGCTTATTGTTACAGTTTCATATTGATATAAAAGCAGCACAGTTGGAACTGTGTCCCTGTTCTACTAGGTCAGGGTTACTCAACATGCGGCCCATGGGCCTCATGTGGCCCACACCCCATTTGTTTGTGACCCACAGTGCGGTTTGGGTTTACGCAAGGCTCAACACGCAGCTCGTGGGTGGGATCCTTTGCACATGGCCTCCACTGGGAACACGCTCCACAATGGCAAGGCGTCTCCCAGGTACGGTGAGCATTGAAAGACACAAGTGGAATGGCTGGCTGGAACAGATGGGTTCAGGGTGTCGGTGTTTCTAGTCTCCAGGGAGGTGGTGTTGGGAGCATTGTGGGAAGTGCTTTGTATTCATGCTTGTCAGTGTGAAAGACGCTATTTGCACATATTTGCAAATATATTTGCATGTATATGCAACCACACGTAAGTTGTGGCCCCCGGCATGTGCTGTGAGTATCATTGTGGCCCCCAGGGCTTCCAAAGTTGAGTAGCCCTGTACTAGGTGGTGTATAGTCATAGAGGTTCCTTGTTGCAAAGGGCTTACAGTCTGCCGTATGCAGAGTATAAGCCCTTTGCAACAAGGAACCTCTATGATGGTTCAACTGTGCAGTTCTATGTACAGGCACACAGTGGCCAAACATAACAGAATTATCCATCAAGAAGGCAAGTAGTGTAGAGTTTGCACAGAGAGAGATCTTGTGTGAAACCCTGACCCCAATGAAATCAAATGAGAATTATGTTATTATGTTATTGATTTCAATAGGGCCAGGATTCAACTTTCAGTACATTATAGAATAAAACTTTATGGATATACCAGGAGCAGGGGGATTAGGACAAGGGTGTGCACAGTTAATCTATAAACATCTGTTAGGGGCTGCAGTAGACTGTAGTCACTACAATCAAGTGTAGCAGCTTTAGCCTGGATTTACAAATACCTGGTCTAGTTGGGATTGAAAATTTCACTGGTCAGCAAATCTTGTTAGAGTCTGTCACTCAAGATTCAGCTGCATATAGGGGGGTCAGAAAGGAAGTGTTTAAGAAAACAGCAACACAACAAACTGAAATTCACTGCTGGAGGGGACAAAAATCAAAAGGATGAATTTAAGGTAATTGACAAAAGCTCTTCTTCAGGTTTTTGTGACTTGAAAGCTTGCCTCTCACACCAGAAGTTGATCCAATAAAAGAAATTACTCCGCCCACCTTGTCTCTCTAATTTTCTGTAACCAACATGGCTACAGTTACACTGCATTTGCCTGTATGTCGACCCCGAATATGATACACACATACCTCTCAACAGTCACTGATCGCAAGGCACATTCATGTCTGTTTGCAAAGGAAAATGTGGCTTTTCCACTTGTCTGCTCTTTGGTTTCTCCCTTCCTCCTTTTTTCCTCTGCATATACCTAGTTTCTCTCTCACATTTAATGTTTGAGCATGTACATATTTTAAATATGGGAATGTGTCTATTTCTTCATTCAAGTAAATGTTGAGAAAGGGCTCAAGAATATCAGAGCTGTTGCCCTGTGGCTAGTCGTGGCAAGATCCCTCTTCCTATTCCTCCTTTAATCTGTTTGATGCCATATTCATGACTGACTACTTTGATTCTCATAGTTTTGTCCAGCCTGGGCAAATCAGTCCTGGGATGGGCGGGAATTAAGGAATCTTATTGAGTACTTGGTTAAAACCCCCTGGCATTAGCACAACCACAGACCTATCTGGTCTTTACTAACTTTATCATTTTTTTCTTTTCGTATTTATGAATAATTTACAGTAGATACATCAAATTATGAAAATCTGGGTACAGAAGCTTTGCATATGTTGGATAAATTATCATCTGCAGCTTCCTGAAGTGTGGCTCTTCTTCATGTTTAGGTTGGGGAAGATTATAAGTATCCTTCAGTTTGAGTGTTCTACCCACATCATGTTCTAATGTTAAGCCTCCTCAGTTTTGAGGAGTGGGGATAACATAAGAGTTCCAATCAAAAGTTACATTAGTACTGTTGGTCTGTTGTTAAATAATGAAATTACAGCAAAGTCAGAAACAAATGGAAAGATTAAGTTTTTTTCCTGATCTCAGATACATGTGCACAATTCCCACTGGCTTGAATAAGTGTATCTGAGTGCAGTAGTTAGGTTCAAAAAGTAGACTGTAGAGCAGTGTTTCTGAAAGTGTTCCGCAAAATCACTTTGAGAAACACATTAACTGGCCACCCCATTTTGTTTATTTACTGGAGCCACGGCCACGGAGCCTCGTGGCTCCCATTGGCTCCCTTTTGTCCTTTGCAGCCAAGGGGAGCCACAGGAAGCAGCATATATTTTCCTCATGTGATTTAAACGTGTGTGTGTGTGTGTATATATATATATATATATATATATACACACACACACATACACACACTCTTTTCGGAGGAATGAGCTGTTTAAATTTTAAGGGACATTTATTTTATTCATAACTACACATTTGCCATTTAAAATCTGTAATATCTTTTCCAGTTTCTAATTGGGCTTCTTCACAAAAAACATTCCCGCCTCCCTGCCCAAGAGATTTCAGTACCATTTTATCTAAGGGTTCCTTACATTAACTTACCATATTATATGCTTCTTTGAAATAATAAAATAGTACTGTAGTTACCCTCGTAAGGAGCAGACAGTTGTTATGTCCTTAAAGGTTGGTGGCTTTCTGCTCACTACAGACTGGTGAAAGATAAGCACTTGCATAAAGTTTATTCCAGATACCCTTTTCACAGAATAACATTCATTGTGCATTCTTTAGGGTAGGAGAATTAAAGAAAATATTTTTAATGTCTAAAATTACATATTTAAGTAGCACTGTGATATTATATTTCACTGATTAAATCGGCCTTGTCAATTGTCCATCAAGCGCCATAAGACTGAAATAGTTTGCATGCTATTCATTTGAACTAAATCCCTAACAAGCCTCATCTACTAATTGGACTTAACATTTATGTTGCTAAATGAGAAGCATTTTGGCTGCAGTATAAGGTGGTAAGACCTACCCTGTGGAATAAACAACTAACATCTGTTATTCTGTCCTGTTCCAGCTTGGCTTTTGCCAGTTAAGTACATCAGCCCTAGAGTCAAGGTTATGGAATACATGGCTCTCTGGCTATGGTGCATATATATGAAAGAGAAGGAATAACACAACATGAGTAAAGATCAGCCAACCAGAAGATATTTAGTGCAGCTGGTCCATTTGGCTTTAACCTCTACAAGCCCTACAAATATCAAAACAAAAGCCAAGAAAAGGGTGTGTGTTTTACAGCAGTTGTCAACAGAACATTCAAGTAAGCTTACAATAGTCACCATTAAAACAAAATTGACATTTAACCATCCTTACTACATGGTGATATCTGAGATACCTTGGTATTTCCTGATACTTAGTACAGGAAATAATTATAGAATCAGACAGCCCTGGGAGTAAACAATATATTCATCAGTAACCACTGTTATTACACAGCTTCCTATACTTTTATTTCCTGTCATGAGACAAATATCAGTATATGCAATCAAACAGGTTACTTCTGTTTACTGACTTTTCTATTGTCTGTATCAGTGAATTCAGCCAACTAATATGTAACATAGAGCAAAGATAATGTACGAGACTGTTTATTTTCTAATGCTAAATCAAGAACCATACATTCTGTTGTGATGAAACAGAAACAAGTAATTTTTGAATGTAACTGTGACTATTTATTACTTTTATTTGGAAAACAGACATTGACCTCTGATCTGGCTGAGTTGCAACGAGAGAGAGAAGATTTACAAGGAAAATTAGAGCATCTGGCCCAAGATACCAGATTAAAAGAGGGTCTGTCTCCTGTGACCTCTAACCAAATTGAAGTCACACTACCTACTCCTTCAAAGAACACAGATTTGGAGATGAAACAGCTGTACTGCAAACTGAAGGTGAGAGAACAGATTGTTCAGCTAACAGGATAACTTTTATTATTTAATTTGCTCTGTCCCAAAAATGTCAAAAGGTACAATTTGCCACAACTAGAAATTTAAGTGTCAGATAATCTTTGTTATTAGCTGGTAGACATATAGTCATAACCAAATGAGTGGAATTTGCAGTTAAAGGATATTTTATAGATAAAGCAGGCCAAGATGAAAGCCTGTTGAAAGTTCAATAGAACTATGTTATTAGAGGGGAATCATATAATTTCAGGTTTCTGTGTGAAAGAGTTGAGCCTTGGTGACTAGGGTAAGATTGAAGTGTGCTGGTTGTGCAGCTCATGTAACACCTTCTGTCTTGTTAAATATAAATCACTATTACTGTTGTCTTCAAAGGGAACTAGTCCTTTATTCTTTTTGCATTTCTGGTGGCAGTTAACAACAATAACCCTAATGATTAAATTACCCACTATTTACACAGTCATTTTTAAAAAGATCCTTGTGTGTGACTGGCAAATAATAAAGGGCAAAGAGTTTATTTTTAAGGATTAATTTCATCTTAATAATTTTGATGATGACCAGATATCATGGTAATGGGCCTTCTAGGCAAGGAAGAAAAATGGATCGGCAAGGAAGAAAAATAAGCAAGGAATAGGTAACAAGAAGAAATAGCAAATAGTTAATAATCTGATTTTTAAATCTCAGGTAATTCTGTTATATTTTATATAGATTTTTATACCATGTTTATAAATGTAGCATAACATTTTCCCATGCAGTAGGAAGTGATGTGATTAACATCTCTCACATATTGTTTGTTTTCTCAGCCTCTCCCCATGAGGAAAGTCTTTGCAATGAAGAATTTTGTTTTAGTGAAGTGTGTATATATACATATGCATATGTGTGTGTGTATGTATACATATATATTAGAAATAGCAAAATAAAAGAAATGCAACTTTTGGTAATCTGAAAACTGTTTCTCTAGTAAAAAAAAAAATAGTTTGTCCTAGTTATCCAGGCAAGCACAAGCCGGGATTCCTGCAAAGGTACAACTCTCACATTGGGAAAGAAGTTCCTAAATTTAGGGGTAGATTAAACTGGAAGCTGTAGATTTGGGCTGAGGGCCATGAACCCATAAAATCTGGAGTAAGGAATAGTGAGGGTAAGTCCCACTGCTGAGGAGAAGGAAGCAGGGGCAGCATTGACAAGACACATAGCGACGAGGAGTGCTTCAAGCTTGAGAACAAGTTGGAGAGTAGGGAAACTCATTTGTTGGTAGCTCTTGTGTTCCAGAGTATAATAGGCTTTAAGCCCGATTTTGTCTTAATTCACCACTATCTCACTATTTAATGATAGCCTCTCCACCTAATAAGGGAGCAGACTTGACTTGATCTTGATGGTTGATTGTCATTTTGATCATGACTTCAGGATTTTAGGAAAATGAAAAACAGAAATCTTATAGTCTTCCTTTGTGGAATGGTGGAAAGAAAAAAGAAAAGAAACATGCAGGTTGATAAGTTTATTATTCCAAAATGTTTCTTTTGCAGTGTAGAAACTATAAAATATTTGGATCAAAACCATTATTTATTGGTCTGTCAAACAGGAATATCAGAGTATTGAATTAAAAAAAGTTGGCACCAGTTATAAAGAACCCTAGTATCAAATATATTACATCAGTTTTCAGTTCTGATTTTTTTAAACTAAAATTAAATATGTGGAAGATGCAGACCCCAAAGCATTAAGGGTCTACATTGAGAGTATCAGGTGTAAGATCTTCAGTGTAGGAAACTACATATGCTATTATTTATTGCATGTGTTGGCCAAATCCTTATTCAATATTTAATGAGTATTTACTTAAAGCAAAACTCTCTCAGATTTTTAACTAAATTTTACTTGATTAAAAACTCAGTAAAAACTGATAGAGGATCTGCCTCTGTGGGTATGTCTACACTACAGCGCTAATTCGAACTAACTTAGTTCGAATTAGTTAATTCGAACTAAGCTAATTCGAACTAACGCATCCAGACTAAAAAACTAGTTCGAATTAGCATTTTGCTAATTCGAACTAGCATGTCCACATTAAGTGGAACCTGAACCGGGGTTAAGGATGGACGGAAGCAGTGCCGGCAGGGCATCAGATGAGGACTTAGAGTGTGGAGCTGCTGCCTCAGGCTAGCTGAGGGCTGTGCTTAAAGGGACCCGACCCCCACCCTGGACAGATAGTTCTCAGGGGTGCCCCGCTTGCAAAGCAGTCCTGGCTTGGAGTGCCCTGAGTGCCCACACTGGGCACATCACAGCACTCGGCCATCAGACTGGCTGCACTTGCCGCAGGCTGCCATCTGGGGAGACTGGGCAAGTGGGGGGCTGCAAGAGAGCTTCCACCCCCAGAAGCCCGCAGAGCCAGCCCAGTCCTCCCCATAGGGGGCTCATACCCCATTCCTCCCTCACCTCCTTCCACTTACCCTTCCCTAGCCCCCCTTCCTGATGTACAAAATAAAGAAAACGTGTGGTCAAAAATAGAATCTCTCTTTATTGAACAAAACTCGGGGAGCCTGGGAAAAGGAGGTGGGAGAGGAGAAGAGAGAGGGTGGGAAAGGGGAGGGCAACTAAAATGATCAGAGGTTTGGAACAGGTCCCATATGAAGAGAGGCTAAAGAGACTGGGACTTTTCAGTTTAGAAAAGAGGAGACTGAGGGGGGATAGGATAGAGGTCTATAAAAGCATGAGTGCGGTGGAGAGGGTGCATCAAGAAAAGTTCTTCATTAGTTCCCATAATAGAAGGACTAGAGGACACCAAAGGAAAGGAATGGGTAGCAGGCTTCAAACTAGTAACAGAAAGTTGTTCTTCACACAGCGCACAGTCAACCTGTGGAACTCCTTGCTGCAGGAGGCTGGGAAGGCTAGAACTAGAACAGAGTTTAAAGAGAAGTGAGATAAAGTGATGGAGGTTGGGTCCATGGAGTGGTATTAGCCAGGGGGTAGGAGTGGTGTCCCTGCCCAAAGTTTGTGGAAGGCTGGAGAGGGATGGCACGAGACAAATGGCTTGGTCACTGTCTTCGGTCCATCCCCTCCAAGGTCCCTAGGGTTGGCCGCTGTCAGCAGACAGGCTACTGGGCTAGATGGGCCTTTGGTCTGACCCAGTACGGCCATTCTAAGCTCAGGCTCGGGGGTCTCAGTGGACCACCTTGATTTTCATGCACACCTGCTCCTGGGTGGCCAGGCTGGCAGCTCTCCTGCCCTAGACGGCCGCTTTCCTGTGCCTAGTGCAGAGGTCATGGACGAGGTCCACGATGTCCGCACTAGACCAGGCGGGTGCCCGCCTCTTGCGGTCCCGGGCAAGCTCCCAGGAGCCGCCAGCCTGGTCCCAGGAAGAGGGAGAAGGCTTGGGGGCATCGGGTGGCTGGCTCGAGCCGTGCCAGGTGCAGGGTCTGCTAGCTGGGTGCTGGCAGGCTTGCACCTGGCGCGGGCATCATAGCCAGCCTGTGCCCCTTTAAGGGGTCCGGGGCCGGGAGGGGGGCAATAGAGTTTCCCTGGTGTTGGCCAGAGTAGCCACCAGGGAAAGCTGGGGAGGGCTAGCCTCCCACTAGTTCGAATTAAGTGGCTACACACCCCTTAATTCGAACTAGTAAGTTCAAACTAGGCTTAGTCCTCGTAGGATGAGGTTTACCTAGTTCGAACTAAGTGCTCCGCTAGTTCGAATTAAGTTCGAACTAGCAGAGCGCTAGTGTAGCACCTATCAAAGTTAATTCGAACTAACGTCCGTTAGTTCGAATTAACTTTGTAGTGTAGACATACCCTGAGTTTGTAAAGATCAACTTTACAAATAAATATGTAAATAGGGGGTTTTTTTGCTATTAGATTCTTAATTTAGAATGTCTCCTTATATTATTCACCCTAAAAATTATGATGGGATCTGCATCCCTCACAGCTTTCATAAGCACTAATATTATCAACTTAAAAGGAAAACACAAAATTTTGGATTTGATAAGTAAAACAAATAAAGGTTATAGGTAGGTAAATAAAGACTGTTTTTCTATTCTTCAGTTTTAAAATATATTTGTTTGTAATGTATAAATCTACACACAGATCCTGTTAAGGATTTGGGATCTTAAACAGTTCCTTTCATTCACCAATATGGCTGGGTTATCATTCACTAGTATGGCTTATTTAACACTCAGAGGAATATTGTTTTGATCTATTGATATGTAATAGAAAACACTGAATAATATTATAGCTAGAGGATATTCTGGTTCCATAACAGAGCATTCCTCTGTAGGTTTTCCCTGGTTTTGTATTGCTAGAAACATTTTCAGGGAAACAAAATCTTTTCTGTGAAGACTGGATTCTCCTGTTGCTTATATTTCATTGGCCAAGCGAACTTGATGGGATTTATCTGTCTGTAATGGGATAACTTCTGAAACTCACAACAATTCAATCCTACAATTTTGGGGCCTATCTGAGAGTCAGTGGGCTAACCACCATTGATTTTGTTGCAATTATATAAGCTCAGGATACAGGGGTGAGGAAGTGGCCTCACAAAGCCCACTTAGGGTTAAGGTTAGATTAAAATTTAGGAGCCAGAGGTTCAGCTGAGGATAGTGTTAGGATTCCAGAGAGTTCCCCTTTGGCTGCTGCACCGAATGTGAATTCTGTGTTTCTGATTTTAGTGGAAGTCAGGTTGCTAGAAGCCTCTCACCACCCCCAATTCTGCTAGGTAAACCTTCTCTACTGCTGAGATTTCCATTCTGTGTCTGACCTGTTAGTCTGTGTCCTGTCTATCTCTTTCTAAACATGTGGCCCATCCTACTTTGCAATTTATGTGATCCTTCAACTTTCATCCACTGCCCCCCTGAAATCTGAATGTCTCCTGTAGTATCCAGTCTGGCACCTCTCAACTGCCAGAATTCTCCTGTAACACCTGGCTTAATCCACCATTCCTCTTACTTGTCACAATTTAATTAGGATATTTTCCCTGACAACTATGTCTCAGCCCTGGGTCTCTTCTTCTTCTACTGCTGCACATCATTTTTTAGCCCATAATCCATGTGCTGGTGGCAGTGTTCCCTCTAAGTTGTGCAGCAGAGCTTCAGAGGTGATTAATCAGCCCTGCCCAGTCTGAGGCTCAGGGCTCCCTGCATGGAGCTGACTGACTGGGCAGGTCCGAGTAATCACCAGTGAAGCTGTGCTGCCATGCAGCTTGGAGGGAACACTGACAGGCGGCATTCTTTCTACTGGATGTGCAGCTGCTTCTTGTAACCTATTAGCCGCAAAAGTTGCCACCCAAAGCATGAAGAGTACAAAATTTAATCAAAAACTTTAAATGTATCACAACACTGTGCTGAGCACTATCAGTGCAAATAACGATTGTTGGATTTATGGAGTGGGCTTATATAACCAAATCCTGAGAGAGTCAGTTTCTATTAAATTGTTATTCTTCCAGTTGAAGACCTGTGAGAGTCACAATATCCATGGGAATCAATGGGAGTTTGCCTGAGTAAGGACAATTAGATGGACATATGATGATACTTTGGTCTTTTACAGCAGGCTTATTGGATGTATGTGATTATCTCCACTTGGATAGCAAATATTTAAAAAAAATAAACTGAAAAATATGCTCTTATAAGCATGTCCTATCACTAATCATAAATCTAAATATAGATAGTCTGCCTTCATTATCCCTTTGAAGTCAATTCCAGGGACACTTACTTGTTTGGTATTCCCTGGCAGCTTGTCTTCATTGATCCTGTGTTGCCCATGAGTCAAACTAGTGGAGGAAGTGTAAAAGAAAAGGTGATAAGACGTAGGGTACACTTAGTCATGGTATTTTCAAGATCCCTGAAGCCAATGGATTGGGAATGAGAGTCCTTCTCCTCCTTAAGCACAGTGTCAATTCAAACCCTGTTTAACAGGCCTTTTTTCATTCCTTGTCCTTCCAGCACACTCTCTCCTGGTTCCTTTTCCCAGGAAGGGGTAATACCCATCTTATATGGTATGTCAGTGCTCTTACAGCTGTTTTAACAAGCTCTTCTTTGTGAGTCTTTGATTCTAAGAATAGTGGTAGAGATGTAGCCGTGTTAGTCTGGGGTAGCTGAAGCAAAATGCAGGACAATGTAGCACTTTAAAGACTAACAAGATGGTTTATTAGATGATGAGCTTTCGTGGGCCAGACCCACTTCCTCAGATCAAATAATGGAAGAAAACACAACCATATATACCAAAGGATACAATTTAAAAAAAATGAACACACATGAAAAGGACAAATCACATTACAGAACAGAAGGGGGATGTGGGGGGGGGGAAGGAAGGTGAATGCCAGTGAGTTAATGATATTAGAGGTGGGGAAGGGGAAATGTCTGTGAGTTAATAGTATTAGAGGTGATAATTGGGGAAGCTATCTTTGTAATGTGTAAGATAGTTGGGGTCTTTATTAAGTCCGGTGCGGAGGGTGTCAAATTTTAGCATGAATGCCAGTTCAGAGGATTCCCTTTCAAGTGCAGATTTGAATGTCTTCTGAAGTAGGATGCAGGTTAGCAGGTCATTAAGACTGTGTCCTTTCTGGTTGATTCTAAGAATGTGCAGGAGGCCCACTTCTCACCCAAGTGATCATATTCACAAGTGGTATGTAAACCCATATAACTGGGTTTTATTCTTCACACTATTGAAGGTCAAGCTCGACAAACAGGTCAGGAAATTAAGCAAAATTCTGCTGCCATTTATCATTTTAAATTTTTTCAGTGTAAACCTCGCATTTTCAGGATCAGGTGACATGTCAGACTCAGAAATTTTGAAATCCTAGGCATGCTTTAACTGTGTAAAAATGTATCACTTTGTATAACATTGTAGCTCATTTCCATTGAGATCAACCCACGATCCTTACTCAGGTAAAATACACATTGAGTTTCATTATACCAAAAGTTATTACTTACATTCATATTATCTTGGAAATTATAAACTATACATCATTCTCTGTGTTTTACATTACATTTGTATTTACTACCAAGCACATATTTTTTAATTAAAATATACAGTTAAATTTACTGCCACATTTTTCAACACCTTTTGCTTTTTATCATCAACCTGCTTTTAATTTTTACTTTCTTTTAAAATGTTAACCCAAGTTCAATATAACCTCCTAGCATAACATTTGTAATAGCAAAAGAAAATTCACAGGCAGTGAGGAATAAGCATTACTGAAATAAGTGACTAGCCAACATTTCCTGTTCTAATTTAACATTTTCTGTAGCACTAGAAAGCAGCCTGTACAATGTATTAAAAACAATACTTTACACCTAACTACACACACAAGAGCCTATACTCCCCTTGAGGTGCATGGTGCTATGTACAAGACTCCCATTAATGTTAATGGGAATTACAAGCCTGCACTGAGCAGGGAAATTGTCTTCAAGTATCTCTGTTTACTGTCTGTCTGATCTATTCGCTCACAGTTTTCGACATAATGGGTAAATTCCCAAAGCCCAGCACAATGGCTGAACCTGCAAAATTGCATGCACACCTATTGTGCACCCATTTCCTGCCCATGCAATTTCTGCGTTTGCCACTTGCTTGGGGCTTTGAAAATATAGCTCATTGCTATGTAGTTATACTGCTCATTTCAGCTGTGGTACTTTAATATATATATCTAGTTAAACATACAGTTAGATGGATACTTATTTAAATTCTTATTTCTCTTTCTGATGATATTGTTTAAATTGATCTCTACCTTGCCCTGAAATTTGAGCTCTCTGATGGGCTCTACTTCAAATCCCCCATGTGGGTGCAAACTAAAATGTACCTATTTTGCAATAACACAGTTCTTTTTGAAGAAGACTATGTTCATGCAAAATAAGTGCCTTTTAGTTCACTATCAGAGTGTCTACATGAGGAGACAGGTGCAGAATGTTGGTGTGTTCTGTTATTCAGTCCCAATAGTCAAAACTACAGGGCAGTGTAGACCAAGACGTAAATTAAACTGCAATTGTTCCTAGGCCAAATCATCCCCAGCCGATCTGCTTGCAGAGGAGACCTATTGTTTGCATGTCTCCCTCTTGTCTTATAGAACCTGAGGAATGCCACCTTGATGGCACTAACCTCTTCCATTGTCCTGAGTCAGTGCTGCTTCAGTGGAGGCTTGCATATGGGAGTGGTTGTTTCCATACCTTCTATTTAGCAGCTGCTGGGGGCAATAGCCATTCTTGCAGCATGATTACTATCTCTCACAGAAGAGTCCCCCCCCTCTTTTTTTTCTTTCAAATCCCCAAGATCAAAAGGATTTGAAAGAACCGGTTTCAAAAATCTGGATCTCTCATACTCCACAATAGGGATATAATAGTGTAATCAGTTAACCGGTTATCTGATAAGCAAAAGCTTATAAGTTAATGTTATAGACTGTACACATTTACCTCCCCCGCCCCTAGACAGAGGCTGCTGCCACCCTGTATCAGAGGCAGCAGCACAGGGCAACAGGCAGCTGGTCAGTGTGGGGAACTGGTTTTTAAACTGGCTCTCCTCACGGATCAGCTCCCACCTGGCACCATGCGCAGAGTGGCAGGGGACTCTCAGGAATAGGGCCGGAGTGCACTGGCTGCTAGCCCTGCTCCTGAGACTACAGAATAGTAGATTAACCGAGAAGAATTAATGAGGTTACTCGACTATTCAATTAACTGATATTTAACATCCCTACTCTACACTATAGGTACATCTAGACTGGTAAGATTTTGTGCAAAAGCATTCGCTTTTGCGCAAAAACTTGCTAGCTGTCTACACTGGCCACTTGAATTTGCGCAAGAGCACTGACTTTGTAATTTACAAAATCAGTGCTTCTTGCACAAATACTTTCACGCTCTCGCTCAGGAAAAAGTCCTCTTGCGCAAGAATACTTGTGCAAGAGGGCCAGTGTAGACAGGGAAGAATTGTTTTGCGCAAAAAAGCCCCGATGGCGATCGGGGCTTTCTTGCGCAAAATCGCGTCTAGACTGGCCAAGGATGCTTTTCCGCAAAAGCACTTTTTGCGCAAAAGTATCCTTGCCAATCTAGACGCGCTTTTGCAGAAATACTTTTAACGGAAAAACTTTTCCGTTAAAAGTATTTCTGCAAAATCATGCCAGTCTAGACACAGCCAAAGCCAGAAGAGATGTACAGTTCAAAGAAACCAGCACAAGACTAACTATGTAGATCAATTAGGGGCAACATAGGCTAGTGACTGAGTGGGTGGCATAAGTGGCCCTCCGTCATCTCAGTGGCCGTAAGATTGTTTTAAACAATGTGATAGAGTAGTTATACTAACTGCACTTGCATCCCTAGAATTTGTGGGGTATGCCAATTAGATTCTAAAGGAACACATGGCTCTCATAAGGTTGCTTACAATCAGCGTTCAGCTCACTTCATGTTCCCTTGCTTTAAGTTTGTGTCACTAGAATAATACTGGTAAGGAAAAAAAAACCTATGCTAACAAAAACCAGCAGAATCAGGCAACCCTTTGCATGGGCAGTTGTAAACAAAATGTCTTGCTGGCTGCACACAGAACCTCAGTGGGCTGCAGGTTGGCCACCAGTGATGTAGAATATTACTTCCCTCTTACTTACCCCGCTTACTGCCAGTCCCATGTGAGGGAAAATCTGGTCCTATTACGTACAAAGTACTTACCTGAAGAACATTTATTAATAATAGATAATTATTATCATGTGGGGAAATAGCAGTTTGAATGTATTTTCAAAGGCAAAGAGTTATGATAAATGTGAAAATTGGCGTGTTCTTTTGCACAGTAGGATAGACGTGAAATGTTAATAATGTTAATCAAAAATAAACTTTTATACAGTGAACCTTTTTCTTTTAAACAAATTCATTACTAGTTATACTTCAGATAATATTTTATTCATACTACTTTTATTTTAATAAGCTTTTTTTTCCATTTAGAATGCAAATAATGAAATCACTAAACACTCAACCACCATTAAGTCTCTAAAAATTGAAGTCCAGGAAAAAGAAGACAAGATGCTAGAACTACAGGAAAAGTATGTTCTCTTCCTCTATCTATTGTATTTGCTGCCACCCAGTGGCAGATATGTAGTTATTCCAACATTAATCATTTCAGATCCAGACTTGGAGAGAAACCTCTCTCTCTCTTTCTCTCTCTCTTTGATAAATCTTGCAAACTGTTAGGGGCTTTACAGAAAATCAGAGTGGAACATGCTAAGATCACATTTTGTATAAACCGATAAGTGATTAGCTGGCTACAGTTTCTGCACTGTAATAAGAATATCTAAAGTCAGAATTCAGACCCTAGAGTGGACTTAGTTATCCTTGATGTAAATCTAAATGAGTGCTTCAGCAGTGCTAAAAGCAGTCTTTCAAATACAGTAATTCTTTGCCTTGGGGCTAGGAGACATATCAAGGTTAAGATACTTAAATTGGATTAAATATCCAGTCTTATATTTGTAAAAAGTGCAAAAAGACAGTTGTGTTTGTTTATATTTGAATTGATTAAGATTTATTTTAACTTTTGAATTCATGTATATTGATTTTGAAATATATTATTGAGATTTTTTTTCTCAAATTGTAAAGACAGCTGTAGTACTGTTCTTTAGTTATATTTAGGTTCTAAATATGACCTATCAGCATCTTTTTAAATTTATTGTCTGATCAAAAGTTTTAAAAAAACACCCAACCATTTCCAATTTTTTATTTTAGAGAATAAGTATAATTTTATTTCTTGAAAACAATTTAATGGTGTAGATTTTCTAGTGGATAATGCTTTAAGAAAAAATTAAGCCCTCTACTGTTATGTGTAGATTTAGATTAAGAATGTAAGTATAGGTCATTATATTGTTTTCATATAACACATTCTCCTTTTTTTTTTTACCAAAAGTATTCTTCATGACCACCCAAATAACACAAATACATCAATACAAACGTGAACATAGATTGAATGAATTTACTGTAGTATTGTTTACTTGCTGATTTCCTATGGTATTGACAGGATAGCAGCAATGTATAAACATACTGCAACCATTCATTTTGTTTTATATGGAAAAAAACAGTGCAGTTGTATGAATGTATTCAGAAAATAGTGTGATTATATTAAAATATTAATTTGTATTCTAGCTGGAGAAGGATCATATAAGGCATACATTTCTGGATTATAAAATGTAGATGCGTTAGCTTGATTTTTCAAGAGGCTTCTATTAAAATACTGACAAATTCTAAGATTTTGCATTTTTGAAAAAGAAATAATCTTATTTGAATTTACAATGTGGTTTTTCAGATAGTACACATTGAAGCATTTTCCCAAATAACACAAATACATCAATTGCTCTATACTATTAAGTTTCAAACTGGATTTTCCCCCATTTTAAAAAAGAATTCTACACATACAATGATTGGAAAGTATCTATCACATAATAATAACAGTTTTTTATTAATTCGTTGAAGTTTCTAAATGTTTTTTCAACAGCTATTTTTCTTGTATAAATGTGTACTAAAGTATTATTGTTGTGCTTTCACCTTAATACAATATGATACATTACAAACCACTGTAAAAATGTAAATCACAATAGAGTGGATCCTTTGAATTAATAGAACTAGATCTACTAGTTAAGAGATTAAATATACTATGCAGTGGTTTAGGGAAAAAATCAATTACAGCTATTTACATGACAAATGCTTAATGTACATTTAATTGTTTAAAGTAACTATATTATAACTATATTTGTTAATACTGTGGGTGCTGTGACTTTTTTCCCCTTATTTCAAGGATTTCTCGGGTGGAAAGAGACATAAATTTGAAAAGACATTTAATAGAAGACTTAAGGTCTCGTCTGAAAGCAAACCAGGAAATTGAGAAAACTTTTAAGGAAACAATAGAAAGTTTTGAGAAAAAGGTAACAGTTGTTTGTTGTTAATATATATAACAAAAATAAATGTTTGATTTGTAGAAGTTATTCCAACCAATTATACAAACCATACCAAAATTTTAAGCGTACATTTCATTAACTTATTGCAGTTCTGTCCATTTTGGGTTTATATGGATTTGGTATATGATGACTGTATTGATTAACTGTATAATTCACCATAATTCAATGTATATATAATAGAAGTGTAACTAAATAATGAGAATATATAGAAAACTCAATTTTAATATTTGCTATATATAGCCTTACTAGAATATCAGACATTTTTCAACATTATAAAAGCCACTATAGATCAAATTAGGGTAATTCTGTACACAAAATATGTTTACAAATATTTTCAATCTACTTCAGTTAAATTCTTTAGTATTTTAAACAATATTAACTCCTACTTTTAATGCTGAATTATCATTTCAGAATTCAGGTTTTATGATTTTATGCTACTGATTTATTAATTGAAACTTACAGCTCAGCATCCAAATGGTTTTTTCCTACATATCTAAAGGCATTTCATGAAAGTTGGAAGGTCTTAGAGATGATAAGACATCTTTTTATAATATCCATTCAGTTCATTGCAATGCAGCCCTTTATCCCTGACAAAGATAACAGACTAGTGGCTTTCTATGAGGTTATTCAATGTATGACCTCAAAATAGAAATAAACAATTTGCCGAGCAAGACATACTTTTATTCTCTTAGAAAGCGAGTGCTGGCTGCACAGCTTGTACAGTAGCCTGTGCGTGCAGTCATTAAGCATTGTCAGCTCCGGAGAGAGCTGCTCTCTTACCCTCCATGCCAAAGATAAGGTGTCATTAAGGAATGCTCAACCAGAGAGACAGAAAGGGATAATGTGAGGAAGTAGCAAGCTAAATACCTGGGTTTTGTTTTTAGAGAAAATAGTTTAGAGTTCAGTGTTGCACTTTGCTCTTTGAGCATTTTCAGCATCCCATTTTTCAGCTTCAACAGGATCAGAGCCCATATATTTCCATTGTTGTTTGTAGAGAATTCAACTGAAAAATATGATACTCTTCAACAGAAGAGCAGAGAGATTCGCCAATACTGTATACTATCTGTAGGATTGTGTGATTAATACAATCTTCCGTGATAGCAGAGTGATTTTCTAGGAATGTTCTTTCATTTCAATTTATGGCTTAAATCACTAACCACGCACACAGGGCAAAGTCACCATGTGTTATCCAGAAGACTAAGCAAGCAATCATGTAGTAGACAATTACCATTTTCTCAGCTATATTTTGATTAGCATATGCTTTTCCCCTCCATGATTAGAAAGATTTGAAACTATGGCTGACCTTGTTATGTTAGTGAAAAATGTCTAAAAGCTACAAGTAAATATCAACCCTGTCTAGACTTTCACACTTTATGCAACCAAATTTTGTATAGAATAATTTATGGGTGGGTAAATAAGCTGCTTATTAAATTCCTATTATAAGTTCTGGAAATACTACCAAGTGTTTAGCTTAAGTACCAATTTATGCAGTAAGAACAAAAATAAGTTTACTTGTGATTTTGGTTCATGTTTGTAGGTTTTCTGTCTAAATAATCAAATTGCCTGTGGTTTTACTTCAGGTAAAGACATTGACTGAAGACTGTTCTAACAAGAAAACATCAATTGATTCACTAAAGCAAAGGCTTAATGTAGCTACAAAAGAGAAATCACAGTATGAACAGATGTATCGCAAGGCTAAAGATGAGTTGGGGAAAAAGGTATAGTATTAGTGTGTTGCTAGTTAATGTAGAAAAAAGTAATTTCCCTTTTTTTCCTTGACTTAGTCATTCACAATATTATTTTTTTTAAATGAAAAGTTTCAAGGCCCACTACTTAATTTTTTAAAATACTTCTAGGAGAATATAAAACAGAGTAATAGTAACATCTTTCCGTATAAGATTTTATTTAGTTTGGCTTGAAGCTATGTTACCTTATTATTAGTGAAAATTCAGTCCTTATATGGATAATAACATATAAAGATACTTGTGAATTGAATTGTATATATTATAAATTGAATGTCCCATAATGTTAACGAATGTGTATTTTTTTAGATTAAAATTACATCGTAATTGCTTCCCTTTTTGCGTACCAATTTTCATATTGATGTACTTTCAGGATCTCAAGCTTACCAACCTAGAAGGTAAAATGATTGAAGCTGAATGTGCGATGACTGAACTTGAGACTACAGCATCTCAGCAACTCCATGGCTTGGCAAAGCAAAGTGAACAGGCACTGGAAGTAGTGCAGAGAAAACTCTTGCTGGCCAATGACAAAGTAGAAGAATTCATAACATTTGTGAAGGTTAGAATTTTGTTTTTCTTTTGATTGACCATTTGATCAAATACCACCACAAACAGAAGCTAAGCAAATGGTCTTTTGTGCACCATACATTGGCATCCTCCACTCTCAAACAGGCAAAATATTATCCTCAGCATGTCCAGAGTAGGAGGAAATCAATGGCTGCCAAATCATCAGCTTCTAGTGTAAGCTCCTCCAAATTGTGAGGCCATCCTTTGCCGATGACCGTCTGTGCTGTCTATCCAAGAGAAAAAAAATGGCCATGTGGTTTCTATTTCAAATGGGTCTAGAATAGGGCTGTCAATTAATCACAGTTAATGAATGCGATTAATACAAAAAAGTTCATTAGATTAAAATAGTCATAATTGATTGCAGCTTTAATTGTACTGTTAAGTAATAATAGAATACCTGTTTAAATGTATTATTTTATTTTTTGATGTTTTTCTACATTTTCAAATATATTGATTTCAGTTACTGCATGGAATACAAAGTGTACACTTCTCAGTTTATATTATATTGATAAAAAAAAGTTAAACTAAAGAAATAGTATTTTTCAGTTCACTCATTCCTACTTCTAGTTTAGCAAATCATGAAGACAAATAAGTTTGTTTACAGGTAATAATGTTATCTACTTCTTATTTACACTGCCACCAGAAAATAAGAGCAGGCATAATGTTGTAGCTGGCATAAAATGGTATTTACATATCAGATATACTAAACTGTTGTATGGCCCTTCATGTTTCAACTTGCAGGCTTTTAAGTTTTACCTTGTTTTGATTTTGAGTGCAGTTATACGAAAATAAATTTTTATATTTGTAAATTGCACTTTCAGTCTAAAGAGACTGCATTACAGTACTTGTATAAAATGAATTGAAAAATACCTTTTCTTTTGCTTCGTTTTTATAGTACAAATAATTGTAATGAAAAATAACAATAGAAAGTGAGCATTTCACACTTTGTATTCTGTGTTGTAATTAAAATGAATCTGTTTGAAAATGTAGAAAAACATCCACGAATTTTCCTAATACATTTAAATTGGTATTCTATTATTGTTTAACAGTGCAATTAAATTGCCAAATCATAACTATATTTTAATCTCATTATTATTTATAATTATTTTTAATCATTTGACAACTCTAATCTAGAATTAAATGACACCTTTCATGCAGTACAAATGTAATACACAATCTTTAGCTAGAGTAAAGTACCAAATCTGTTGCATACATACACATATTTTTATGATTTTTTTGTAAATGTTAAATAAGATATCTAGAACATATTGATAAAATAAACAGTAATAAATTACCAGGACCACATGGTATTCACCCAAGAGTTCTGACTAAAATTAAAGAAAATCTGCATTAACTCTGTCCTATCCATTTCTAGTTTCTCTCTATATGTATCCCAGGATACTGGAGTCTGCTTTCACTCATGATGCAGTTCTGGAATAACTGCACTGAAAACAAGGAATGTCTAAAAGAGAGATGTATCTTTTAATTACCTTTTGCATATTTTGCACTTATAATGCCCATTGTACATTAAAGTTTGGACTTTCAATATATATATCACTTCATAGATAATATAATTTCTATATTTGGTTTAGATTTGTAAGCTTTTGGATCAGGGTCTGTATCAAAAAAGAAGTTGGGATGATAGGTGCATAATATACTACTTATTGCTCTATTTAGGCCCTTGCCTAGCAATTTAGTAATAAATGCTATGGAATGTTAGAAACATTTCTTCGTGAATATATTGTGATGAGGTCCAAGTTTGTGTGTGCTGTGTTTTACTCATTTACTACAGTTTTCTTCAGAGGGACTATATGAAAAATTCCATCATTATCATTTTGGCTAAAACAAAATGAAAGGCCTTACATAAGAATGACTCACAGAAAAGAATTGGAGATTGTAGGAAGTAGAGAATAGGAGGTTGTAAAGGGGAGATTCCTAATATCTGAATAATATTCTGGACCTATTTGATGACCCCCACACCCACTCAGAATAAAAAGCAACACACATTCACACTCCCACTTCATGAATCCTTCCACCCAGGGAAACCAGTCTCCTGTCTAAAAGAAATCCTTATCAGGAACATTCAAAATTATCCAGGATCAAGAGAGGGAGGAGATAAGACTGTACACATTCTCAGTGGTGAGGTTTATTTTCCTCCCCATAACCAGGGCATGGATTTCCTGGGCAGTGATCCTCTCCCACCTTCTATTAGTGGGTCCAGGATGTGGAAGAAAATACAGGCCTAGAATGGTTGCGTAGATCAGATGCAGGATGGGTGACTAGAACTACCTCTATGATATATGGCCAATGTTGGTCTCATTGAACACAGCTGCTCTTCATAACATTTGGCAGATTTACTGTTTGATTTGTTCATCCCTGAGAGAGGTGAACAGTTGAACTTTCCCACCAGCAAGAATCTTGTACATTCATGAGCCATGTCTGCATCAGAAGATATTATAAAATGCAGTGGGGAAGTTTGTGACATGCAGTGGCTTAAAAAAAAAGAAAAAAGCCCAGTATCTTAAAATAGAAGTGGAACAACTTCCAGATGAAATCCACATAGTTTTAAAAGCTCTGAACTGTTGTGATAGTGATAGTTTGTCCAAAGATCACTTTATTAGGTTACAGGAACAGCTTAAAATGAGAATGATTGTTGTACCATTTATGTAAATGAATGCTATCAGTTTTGCTTTGAAAGTGAGTGCATTGGACATGGCTGTAAGTTGATAGGAAATATGTTCCCAGCTGGGAACATTTAAAAGCAAGAAGAAAACCATCTGGTCCATTAAGCATGCTCTTAATTGTCATCTCTTTATCTAGAAAAAATATCCAGTGTGATTCCTTTGTATTGTGCTATAGCAGGTGACAAAATCTGATAATCAGTGTTTGACCTGAATCCACCAAATATATGATTAAAGGAAAGCAACTTCATTCGATAAAAATCAGTATTTTCATTAGGAAAACACAGACCTCAGTTTTATAAATGGTAAATAATACAGCAAATGCACTGTGAGGATGTTCTACCTGCAAACATCACTTTTCTCTCTTAAAAGACACACAAAAACACCTTACCATTTAAAAAATGAAATACTTACCCACTCTATTAGAAACACTCTTAGATGTACTAGTTTCAGGGGAAGAAAGTGAACCATAGCTTTTATTAAGAAACACCAACAGTTGATGGTTCTGAGAAGGAATTGGTGATAAATTAACTTAATCTCCATCAGGATTACTCTGCAGCTGGGATTTAGGCAAATTGAATCAGAGGCCTGAATAGTGACAGTGAATATCTATTAGACTGTAAACAGAATAATAGGCTCTGTGGATTTTAATGAATGAAGTGAATGGCTGAATTCCTACTGTTTAGGGATGGCATATGGTTAGTGATGCATACAGTACACCAGTATAATGTAAATGTCTTAATGGACAGAATCTTGATTAATAAAATTGAAGAATGAGTAGAGAGCTCTTCTTTACTCACAATTTTCTGGTTTTGAACTGTAGGAAAAAATGCATTTTACTTGGATTTTTAACTCTATTGCAGATAAAAATCTACAGAGGGGTAGCCGATTAGTCTGTAACAGGAAAAACTTAAAAAACAACAAATAGTCTAGTAGCACTTTAAAGACTAACAAAATATGTAGATGGGATCATATATATGATCCCATCTAAACATTCTAAAAATCTAGAATGTTATTTAACACTTTGGGTATATCTAGACTGCATCCCTCTGTCGGCAAAGGGATGCAGATTAGGCAGGTCGACATTGCAAATGAGGCAGGGATTTAAATATCCTGTGCCTAATTTGCATAAAAATGGTTGCCACGTTTTGCCGACTCAGCACTTTGTCGACAAAAAAGCATCAGTCTAGAGAGGGATCTGTCAAGAAAAAAAGCCTTTTTCTACAGATCCCTTATGCCTCCTGTAAGGAGGTTTACTTTGGGAGGCAGGAGAGTGCCACAGGTCACCAGACAAGGCAGGTTGCAAGTTGCAACTACACTGCCAGTCACCCAAACTCTTCCCTCAAATGTCAAGATGTTATTTCCCTATTCAGGGTCAATGCTCCCTATATTATAACCAATGTAATTGCCCTATCATTGGTCAGTGTCTAGATGCCAGGCCCAGTCACTGGAACTCCCCCTCGGGTTACTTATCTCCCAAGCACTGTTCCCACTGGGACTGTTCTTTCTGGTATATCCACTGATTGATTGCTCATGGTAGCCACAGTCAGCAGGCAAGCCCAGGTGTTGATGGCTCTTCCTTGGTTGCAGGAGAGAGGTTCCTTTGGTGCAGAGGCCCAGGTCAGCCCATATCCCAGTCTCTGCATTGGGATTGGGCACTAAAAACTGCTTTGCCTTCCATAGCACCCCAGTGGTAGCAACACAATGGCCATATTGGGAAGCATTGGGTGCTCTGATGATGATGAAGTCCCCTTCACAACTATCACTGGCTGTGTCAGAACAAAGATCGATGTCCCAACTGGTACCACTGCTCTCTACCAGAAGCTCATTCCAAGGTCGGAGTGGAGCAGCGAAGGGCAACCAAGACTAGGGAGTAGGCCATGTGAATGTTTGTGCAGATAGGCATCATGGGTTAGTGGATAGGGCACTAATCTGGGGGTCAAAAATCCTATGTTCAGTTTACAACTAGGTTGCTGACCTATTGTATGATGTTCTTCATGTTTGTGTTCCTCTATTTCCCTTTACCTTCCTTGTCTATTTACAGTGTAAATTCTTTAATGCACGGGCTATATCTTCCTGTATTTCGGGGACCAACATCAAAGGGGAATTATTAAGGGCCCAAGAGCCAACCATCCACTGTGTAGGAAAGATAGGTAGTATGGCAAGAGACCACCTTGGCTTAACCAGGAGACCTTAAATGATCTAAAAATCAAAAAAGAGTCATATAAAAAGCAGAAACTAGGGCAAAGTACAAAGGATGAATATAAGCATATAACACAAGTATATAGGGACAAAATTAGAAAGGTGAAGG